CTAAACTTGTGATGGGCGATTACTCAGCATCTCTGAAAATGCAAAAGCCCTCAACTCTGAGTGGAGACTTTGAAGCATTCTGCCTTCCCTCACTTCAGGAGCCAGACAGGAAAAGCAGTATGGATAGAAACCTCTTCCATCTCCTGGCTAACTATAAATTTGAACTCCATCCCCAACTCTCCACTGATAATGAGCCACTCACTCTGATCTGGGATCACTCACACTGATCCCCAATCACTCACACTGCTCCCCGATCACTCACTCTGATCCACAATCACTCACACTGATCCCTGATCACTCACACTGATCCACAACCACTCACATTGATCCCTAAACACTCACACTGATCCCTGATCACTCATACTAATCTCTATCACTCATACTGATCCCCTATCACTCACACTGATCCCACAGTCACTCTGATCCATGATCACTCACAGATCCCCGATCGCTCACACTGATCCCACAGTCATTCACACTGATCCCCTATCACTTACACTGATCCCTCAGTCACTCACTATGATCCCAGATCACTCACACAGATCCCCGATGACTCACACTGATCCCTAACCACTCACACTGATCCCCTATCACTCATATTTATCCCTCAGTAATTCACTCTGATCCCACTCACTCACATTGATCCCTAATCACTCATACTGACCCCAAACACTCATACAGATCCGCGATCACTCACACGGATCCCTAGTCACTCACACTGATCCCCAATCATTTATACTGATTCCTAATCACTCACACTGTTCCCTGATCACTTACACAGATCCCCAATCATTCACACTGATCCCCAATCACTCACACTGATCCCTCAGTCACTCACTCTGATCCCTGGTCACTCACACATTGCCCGATCACTCACACTGATCTCCCAATCACTCATGCTGATTCCCCGGTTACTCTCACTGATTCCTATCACTCACACTGATTCTCAATCACACATACTGATCCTTAATCACTCACACTGATCTCTGATCACTCACACTGATCCCTAATCGCTCATACTGATCCCCAATCCCTCACACTGATCCTACAGTCACTCATTCTGATCTGCAATCACTCATACTGATCCCCGATCATTCACACTGATCCCTGATCACTCACACTCATCCCCTGATCTTTCACACTGGCTTTTAGTTGTTTAAGTTGGGATTTTGCAGTTGAAGCTGCTACATACACCTCTCTCTGCTGCTGCGACATTGACTCTGTTCACGCTCCTTCTCCTGGACTGGAATCATAGGATCCCTACAGTGTGGAAGCAGGCCATTTGACCCATCAAGTCCACATGGACCCTCTGAAGAGCAATCTCTTCCAGACCCAGCCCCCATCCCCATATTTCCCAATGCTAACCCACCTAAACTACACATGCGTGGACACTATGGGCAATTTAGCATGGCCAATTCATCTAACCTGGGTATCTTTGGGAGGAGAGATAACAAGGTGTGGAGCTGGATGAACACACCAGGCCAAGCAGCATCAGAGGAGCAGGAAAGCTGACGTTTCAGGCCGAGAAACTTCTTCAGAAATGGGGGAGGGGAAGGGGGTTCTGAAATAGATAGGGAGAGAGGGGGAGGCGGATAGAAGGTGGATAGAGGAGAAGATAGGTGGAGAGGAGACAGACAGGTCAAAGAGGCGGGGATGGAGCCAGTAAAGGTGAGTGTAGGTGGGGAGTTAGGGAGGGGATAGGTCAATCCAGGGAGGATGGACAGGTCAAGGGGGTGGGATGAGGTTAGTAGGTAGGAGATGGGGGTGGGACTTCAGGTGGGAGGAGGGGATAGGTGGGAGGAAGGACAGGTTAGGGAGGTGGGGACGAGCTGGGCTGGTTTTGGGATGCGGTAGGGAGAGGGGAGATTTTGAAGCTTGTGAATTCCACATTGATACCATTGGGCTGCAGGGTTCCCAAGCGAAATATGAGGTGCTGTTCCTGAAACCTTCGGGTGGCATCGTTGTGGCACTGCAGGAGGCCCAGGATGGACATGTTGTCTGTGGAATGGCAGAGGGAGTTGAAATGGTTCACGACTGGGAGGTGCAGTTGTTTAGTGCGAACCAGCATAGGTGTTCTGCAAAGCAGTCCCCAAGCCTCCACTTGGTTTCCCTGATGTAGAGAAGGCCACAATGGTAATTAGCAGATGTGCAGGTGAACATCTGCTTGACGTGGAAAGTCTTCTTGGGGCCTGGGATGGGGGTGAGGGGGGAGGTGTAGGGGCAGGTGTAGCACTTCCTGCGGTTGCAGGGAAAAGTGCCGGGTGTGGTGGGGCTGGAGGGGAGTGTGGAGCGGACAAGGGAGTCACGGAGAGAGTGGTCCCTCTGGAAAGCAGATAAGGGTGGGGAGGGAAAAATGTCTTTGGTGGTGGGGTCGGATCGCAGATGACGGAAGTGTTGGAGGATGATGCGTTGGATCCAGAGGTTGGTGGGGTGGTACGTGAGGACGAGGGGGATTCTGTTTTGGTTGTTATTGCGGGGAGGGGGTGTGAGGGATGAGTTGCGGGAAATGCGAGAGACACCTTCGAGGGCGTTCTCGACCACTGAGGTGGGGGCAAGTTGCGGTCCTTGAAAAATGAGGACATCTGAGATGTTTGGGAGTGGAATGCCTCATCCTGGGAGCAGATGCGGTGGAGGCGAAGGACTTGGGAATAGGGGATGGCATTTCTGCAGGAAGGTGGTGGGAGGAGGTGTATTCTAGATAGCTGCGGGAGGCTTGAAATGGATATCGGTTTCTAGGTGGTTGCCAGAGATGGAAACAGAGAGGTCCAGGAAGGAGAGAGAGGTATCAGAGATGGTCCAGGTGAACTTAAGGTTGGGGTGGAAGGTGTTGGTGAAGTGGATGAACTGTTCGAGCTCCTCATGGGAGCATGAGGCGGCGCCAATACAGTCATCAATGTAACAGAGGAAGAGGTGGGGTTTAGGGCCAGTGTAGCTACGGAAGAGGGATTGTTCCACGTAACCTACAAACAGGCAGGCATAGCTTGGGCCCATGTGGGTACCCACGGCCATCCCCTTTGTCTGTAGGAAGTGGGAGGAATTGAAAGAGAAGTTGTTGAGGGTGAGGACGAGTTTGGCTAAGCGGATGAGGGTGTCAGTGGAGGGGGGCTGGTTGGGCCTGCGCGACAGGAAGAAGCAGAGGGCCTTTAGGCCATCTGCATGGGGAATGCAGGTGTATAGGGACTGGGCGTCCATGGTAAAGATGAGGTGTTGGGGACCGGGGAATTGGAAGTTTTGGAGGAGGTAGAGGGCGTGGGTGGTGTCATGGACGTAGGTAGGGAGTTCCTGGACCAATGGGGAGAAAATGAAGTTGAGATAGGTGGAACCAAGTTTGGTGGGGCAGGAGCAGGCGGAGACAATGAGTCGACCAGGGCAGTCAGGTTTATGGATTTTGGGAAGGAGATAGAAGTGGGCGGTGCGGGGTTGGGGAACGATGAGGTTGGAGGCTGTGGGTGGGAGGTCACCTGAGTTGATGAGGTTGTGGATGGTTTGGGAGATGATGGTTTGGTGGTCGGGGGTGGGGTCATGATCAGGGGGGCGGTAGGAGGAGGTGTCGGAGAGTTGGCGCCTGGCCTCGGCGATGCAGAGGTCAGTGCACCATACTACAAGTGCGCCTCCCTTGTCCGCTGTTTGAGTACCCAGAAGAAACCCATGCAGACATGGGGAGAACATGCAAACTCCACACAATCAGTTGCCAAGGGTGAAATTGAACCGAGGCTCCTGGCGCTGTGAGGCAGCAGTGTGCTAACCACTGAGCCACCGTGCCACCCATGGAGCAGATAGCATGTGAGGGAAATCTGTTTTGCTGTTTTGTCAAGGCTGTGTTTATTGGAACAGTTGATATGTTGTAGTTAAATAATATATTATTTTGTTAAGTATTTGAATAGAGTTAAAGTTATGCCAATTTTTTTTTGATTGCAGTTTAATTGTGGTGTAAAAATAAAGTGTGTTTTGCTTAATGCCTAGTAGTGTTACCAACCAAATCACATCTGGAACATTTGCCTTTAATAAGATAAAAGTTATGGTGTAGGGTATCCCCTTGATGTTTTTGAGGGGGTTTGGTCTGGTTCATAACAATATATATATACGTATGCAATTTTCATTTGTGGGTTATGCAAAACCTGACTAATGGGCTTTAGCCATGTCAGCAAGAGATCTGAAGATGCCAGAGTCATTTGGAGAGCTAAGGGACCCTGTGGGAGATAAGGTTTCAATTAGACATGGATGCGCATAACAGAAGATAATCTCATTGGAACTGTCAAACTGTGCAGGTTTTAAATACCACCCTTTAAAAAATATAGGCTGAGACTGCCTGCAATTTCAACAGATACATATTGACATAAGCTGAGGGATATCATGGTATGATTACTGCTACACGATTGAATCCGCACCTTATCACAGTAGGATGCAATGCTGTAAATTCAAGTCGATTAACAGCTCCAAGTGGTTATAAAGTTTTCAACTTGAGGCATTTACGTTCATTAGGGAATTAAGTATTTGAGGAAATGTAAATAAATTTTATCAATGAAAGTGTTTTTAATAACCAAATCAGATGCATGATAAGGAAGTACACAATCAATAGATAAGTTGGAAAGACAGACTGAGGAATTGATTCTAATAAATGGATAAATGCAATGTAATGAGACTGGAAAGGGGTCAGTAATAATAAGAATATAATGATTCATCTTCATCTAAATATATGGCTTAAGGAAATCGTGGAAGAGTCATAGATGGATTTACTATGGAATGAGAATTTATAATTGAAGACGATCCACAAAACATAGGAGGGCTTTGGAGACATTGAAATGCTTTATAAAGCAGTATTATAGAAATTCAATCCACAAGTAACACTGAAATAATTTTAGAAACACGTATTTAGCTACGGGTGTTTGCATTAAGGAGGGAAATATATTTTGAGATTAAAAATGTGAAAAGCCAGAGTACTAACGAGTGTAGGGCTGGCTCCGGAAGGGGTTGTGCTTTGGATTAGGGTTGGTGGGGATGAGACTGAGAGCGGAAGCTGTGCGGGTGTAAACAAGTTGTCAGTCACTCTGCAGGGGGTTTCCAGACAGTCCTTGCTAGCGCTAGGAGCCGGAGCAGAAGCAGCAGCAGCAATGGGAGCTGTGCTTGGAGCTTTGTCTTTAGCCAGCTGGGTAGGTGCATTGCTTCAGTGCAGCGGTGCGCAGATGTAAAAGTGTTGTACCCAAACCGGTTCGTATGGATTGCTATGAGAGAGTGTGCCGACTACGTCTGTGTTTGCACGGCCAAGACACAGTAGATAACAAAGAGAAGGATGAAAATCCTCGCTGCTTTTCTGTCTGCATTTGTGCAGGCAGCTTTTGGGTGTGGGTACTTTGTAGTGGTTGCAGGATTTTTCTTTAAATTTACGTCCTGTTGTTTTGACCCCCAGTCAATGTTGTATTAGATGTATTGCTTATGCTGAGCTGATGATGTCACTGCCTTGTGATGCTGACGATCTGAGTCATGCTGGACCTCTGCGGGCCTTTAAATAGCTGACAGCCTTTCATCCGATTATATAAAAGTCCAGAGAGCTTTCTAAATCCTTTCAGTTTTTTTTTAAATGCTGCAAGTTGGTAAGGGGAAGTGCGTGGTTACCCCACGTATCGGACCAATCTCTAAATTAACCCTCAGCTCTAACACACTCACATACCCGTCTGCACACAAATTGTAGGGAAAGCCGGATTGAAGTCGCTTTCACAACAGGGACGAAGGGTGCAATGTTGAATGCACACGGTCTTTAACAGCTGTAAACACATTCCTAGCTGCAATAAGCAAGTGAACACAGTGCAACCTGGACAGTGATGAGTTGCTGCAAGACACGTCTCCATTATTAGGGATAAGGAATGATATTTTGTTTTTTTTTAAATACTATAATTTGAGTTATTCTAAAACCGAGTCACTGCAGCTACCGCAATGTTTACAGCAACAGATCTCTAGATGCCAGTTTGTTGGGGTATAGATTGTTCTGGGCTTTTGGAGAGCGCTGCTGCGGAGGTAAAGCCTACATTCAAAACTGCTATTTGATTTGCTTTTAACTACATCTGTGAATCACTTGCAATATGGTTACGCCTATTGATGGGAGCTATCTGGGGGTGTTGGAGATGTATCATTTTTGTCTCGGGCAGAAAAATACTGTTTAGGTTACAATGACAGAAGGGAGTGATCCTTAATTTTGTACAGGCAGAGTACTTTCTCATGGCAATAAAGCACACAGAACAATATCAGATGCAATAACATTTGGTGTTGTGATTTTACACATCCCTCAATGCTCCAATGATAAGCCTAGCTTCACACTAATGACTATGTACTTCTGTTAATAACAAAATATTCATAGCTTATTCAAGTTTGACTATTTCATATAGGATTAATCTATAGTAGACGCTGCACAAAATAAAGTATTTCAGGATTGTAGAATGCCTTTACAGTTGACCTAATTATTGGGAAATAATAAAATCATGACTTGGACCAATGCATGGTCTATCACCAGCTTTTCTAAATAAAGTTAATGTCAAGCGTAAGCTAACAACTGCCCAAAACATCTTCAACGTCATTAAACTTGTAAATCAAGTGAGTATGTTTCATTATACAGTAGACATTTTGATAAATAAAAACTTATATTCTGCTCAAATACTAATTTCCAAGAAGATGATCCTTTACATACTTTTCTTATATAAAGCTTCCAAACATCATCCACTCTGATTTCAAAATTTCTAATAATCTTCTTGCTATGACATAAAGGTTAACAATAACTTGTGAATTGAAATACATCATCTTACCTATGACAAAAAGAGACATTTAGGTTGAAGTAACATAAAGGAGTGATAAAGTTGCGACCCAAGGCGCAGTATGTCTCGGCCCTAGGGAGACTAGTCCATCATTTCTATAGGGGTGTTTGGTTATGAATTGATTTTTAAGAGGGAAAAAAAAGCTAACCCCATATTAGACACAGTACGCTAAATAAATGTAGTGATTTATACAGAAAAAATAATTAAAAGGTGTTGGGGAATTGTGACATTATTTGGGAGTCACACAACGTATGCATAGAAAAAATAAATGTTGATGACCATGAGATGTGAAATAGCCAAGGGAGATCATCTCAAACAGTTTAAGAGACTAAAAGGATGGGGTGGTTTTCCTTCGAGCAGAGAATACTGAGAGACTTTTTTGAGGTGTACAAAGTTATGAGGGGGATTGGCCGATAGGGGTCAATAACCAAGGCAAAGTTTTAAGGTAAGGAGCAGGCGATTTACAGGGGATTTGAGGAAAGTTTTTTTTTCCACCCAGAGGTTGGTGGCCATCAAGTTCACTGCCTAATGGATGGTAGATGCAGGAACCCTTAAGATATTTAAATCTTTAGATGAACACTTTAAGTGCCAGAATGTACAAGGCTAGGGGCCAAATCCTAGAAAATGGGATTAAAATAGATGCTTGATGACCAGCTTGGATACAATGGGCCAAAAGATCTTTTTATGATGTAATAGTTCTATGACTCTGAGATTAGCCAAATATGAATTATTCCATTGAATATAGTGTTAAAATTGAGAGTCTGCTCAAGCTGAAAGATGAACGTGATTCAACAAACTTGTGTGACTTCCTATTAGAAATATCCATGCATATTTTTTAAAATAAAGTACACCTGAGAGAGTAATTTAAATTACAGTCCAATAAGAGACTAGTACAAAGTCAATTTGAGACTAATAGAAGGAAATTTTTCTTTAAACATAGATTAAAACATGAAATAGACCTGTAGCAAGCAAAGAAAACAAAAGCATAGAATAATTTTAAAAATTGATGGTTTTCTAGTTGGGGGTGAATTTAAGGAGATTAGTGGCTTTTCTTATTTGTAACTACTTATGACCATTAAATAAATGTCCTGCCCCTTTCTGGTCATTACTTGGGTATAGGTAATGATTTAGTCTTTGAAAGAAAGACTTTGATTTGGTCTAATGTAACAATAATAGCATCAGGAGCCATGTTGTGTCTCCCTGTTTTGAGGGAGAAATGAATATCATTGATTTGTGACTGCCGAGACTGTGAGGGATTCTGTTGGATTTAGGCAATCTGTATTTTTTTTGTCTTTGGCATTCTGGTTGCTAGGGAAACCATTTTTCTTTGGTATGGCCCTTGGTCTACATGAGAGTGAACAACACTAGTGTTTAATGAGTGAGATTATTCTATAAATAATTGGTAACAATAGAAATGCATTGACATTACAATATAGAAAAAGTAATTTGGCCCAATCATTATTGTTCTTCAAAGTGTTGCTTCAGTGTGTTTACACTTCACCAAGGAGAAATCCCCTGATTGTTCTATTGTATACCTTCAATCACCAATTCAATTGAATCTTGAATTTCGACATACTTTCTGCCGCAACTACAAATGCTAGAATCAAATTTCATAGTCTTGCAACCTTTGGTGTGAAGATGTTTCTGTGTTACTTTCTTGTCCTTAATGTCTTGCGTTCAGTCTGTGACCTTTTGTGATAGACTGCAGAACTATTGTAAATCGCAGCATATAAGCTACTGAATATATAAAACAACCTAATTCTTCTGGCTCCAAAACAACATGTTTTTACATATATTCTGTGTATAATTGAACTACGTTTGAACCAATGACATGTTATACTTGCATTAGTAGTCAGCCTTAATTTGTCACGCCACAAATGCATGTTTTACTTAGCAGTACTTACGAAAATGTAGGCTGTTGTGAAGGTGCTTGGGAATTTAAAACATTTCCAGTCTTTGCACCAGAAGCAGTTGACATATCGAAATGGTGATCACCCACACCTTGTTTCACTTTTGTACTTGGTTTATGATTTGAGCCCTGTTTTCCGATGGATTTTCTGAGGCTTTAGAAGTTGACTTATGTGCTGATATGTATGATGCTTTTAAAAAAAGGTTTATCTAGCTTATCCAATTCTTTCACATTTTTAAATATGCTTGATATATCACCGCAGAAACTACATAGAAAAATATAAATGTGCTGTAGTGTGTTTGTACCAAGAAACATAAGAATGAACCTGCATTGTATGCTCTTTAAAAACATTTGTAGCCTTCCTTCAATTTGATAGTTTAGGACATTACACAAATGCTTTTATGGAGCAGAGACAAGTGAGGTCCTTTGGATAGGCAGTCAGTATCACTGACGTGAGGTCAGGTGAGGACCACAGAGCAAGCAGATAGAGATAGGTAGTTGGTGTTGATTGGAATTAGTTCTTCTGCTATTACAGAGAAAGGACCTCGCTATTTGGGGAATCTTTGGTAAGTGGTTAAAGTCTTTTTCGATTCTAACATCGACAACAAAGTGATGCTAAAGGTAATAAAATATTTAAAAGGCAACATAAGTGAATAATATAATTCAAACTCATTAAGGATGGCAATTCAGCTGATGTGTCAAGCTGCAGCATGTGGGAGCTCTTGAATATCTCTGATCCTGTCTTCAGTAAGTGTATAAAGTTTGAGCAACGTTGGCTCGATGTTTGAGATGGAGGCTGAACTGCAGACATTGCAACATGCCAGGGAAGAGAAAAGTTACCTGGATTTGTTGTACTCGGAGGCAGTCACTCCACTTGGGATAATTTCTTCTTATTTGCTCACTGGTCAGAGACAGGAGGGTGTGACTGTGAATGAGGCAGGTAAGGGGACCAGAAGGTAAAAGTGCAAATATCTACCATGTTTGAGAATCTGTCAGCTTGTTTGGATGAGATTGAGGGCTATGAGGTGGAGAACAAATTGACAATGGCATCGTGGTGCTGGAAGCTATTCAAGTGAGGGGAGTAACAAGGAATGTAGTTGGACTAAGTAATAATATTGAGGGGGATCAACACCATTCTCTGCAGCAAAGTGTGAGATCCAAATACGTTGCCTGCCTTGTGCCAGGTTTCAAGACACCTGCTCAGTGCAGGAAAAAAGCTTGCAATGGGAGGAGGAGGTGGATCCAATGATTATGGTTTATGTAGGTACCAATGACACAGGTGGAACTAGGAATGAGGTTCTGCAGAGACAATATGAGAAACTACATACTAAATTGAAAAGCAGACCTCAAGTTATAGTCTCTGGTTTGTTACCTGAGCTGCATGTAAATTGGTGTAGAATACATAAAATTAGATGAACACGTTGTCTCAAACAGTGGT